CAGTGTTATGACAACTGAGATCACCTCTAAAGTGGAGAAAATCCCCACGACAGCCACTAGCAGCACCACATGCCCTTCCGTTGAGACTGAGGAAGAAAAAGCAAAAAGACTGCTGTACTGTTCACTATGCAAAGTCGCTGTCAACTCTGCCTCGCAGCTGGAGGCGCACAACAGTGGTGAGATGGAGCAGTGCTTGCTTTCTTCCTTTTTTTCCTTCTGTCTCAAGAGCTCTGCAATTATCTTCCCCTGAATAGATTAGATCTCTTGCAGCAGGGGACAAAGAGGTGGCAGAAAACTGGCAATTACATGGAATTCATTAACTATTAAAGAATAAAAATGACAGGCAAAGAGGCTTTCATAAAGGAGGAAGAAAGGAATTTTATTGCATGCAAGTTAGCCATTTTCTTACATTTTAGCTTTTGCAGCTTCCAAACCTTATAGAGCTAAGTGACAGCTCATGCTTCATTACCTCTGGTGTTTGGAGTTTGCATACCTTTGTTTGTGCCAGCTAGCAAACTGAGTATGAATGCCATTAGTTTTGTTTGAAATCTAACAAATTAAAGCTGAAAGAGTCAGAGCTCAACGATGAGAGTTAGAATTCTTAGCTGCATATTGTCTGTTAATAACTTGTAAAAATCATGTATATTTTCCTTTGTTTTCATCAACTGATAGCAACTGCTGCATGAGAGTTGAATGGGTAGTTCCTTACCTCCATCTTTCTTAATTTTTAAGCCTTTCCTTTTTATTATAACTAGTACCATCAATACGTTCCAGTACTAGAAAGCTATAATTCACAGTGACTATTGTAACCATCTTATTGATTGGCTTTGTGGTGAGCAGGGTTAAAAAATCTTGGGATTTAATATGGTGGCAATGACCACCTATAACAGTCCTAGAGAAAAACTCCTGATTTTGGATGTCAGGGGTTACCTGCCAGCAGGGTAAACAAAGTTAGGAGACAGGCAGAGAACCTTAGGTTTGAAACATAGAGACAGTGATGATATACCTGCAGCAAGATGATCAGTGGTTTTATGATGTAATAAAAAAAAGAAATAACTTTGGCATGTCTATAGAATCCACTAAAATTAAAAAGGAAATGATAATTTGTTGGTGTTCATGAGAAACAAAGCCTAATCAGTTTTGAATTCTGTTTGCTGTATGCCAGACCTTCAACTGGTGAAAATTCAAGTTTGTAAAGCTGTACCCACTTAACCTGTTCAACTTCATATGAGGGTTAGACTCTAAACATTTTTCTGATCAAGATGAGAGCCAAAACATTATTCTGAATATTTAAGCACAAGCCTCCAAGTTTTTGCTGTCTATGCCGATAAACTGTGTGTGTGCTCACACACATACATGCTTGTAAAAGTGTTCATGTGGATGCATACAACAATTATCAGTGGAACACTAATTCTGTGCATGGTAGTAGTCCATTATCATCACAGACTACCTGCATGGAAGTCAACAGTGTAAGAAATTGTTTGGTCTGAATAAAGGTAAAGCAATAAGACACTACTGTCTTCTATCCAATCTCTAATAAAAAATGCAAGTGCATTTTTCTCACAGGTATGTTTCTCACACATTTTGGTTTCTGTCCAGGCCATTAAGGATCCATAGGTTGCTGCCAGGAACCTCTGCCCCTTTTTGATTTGGAGACTAACTAGTTAATTACAGATTTAAGTGTAAGCTACCTAATGCATACCGTTTGTCAATCCATTCAGGAGGACTACAAATCAAAGCCAACTACATCTTTAATAGCTAAATTACTCTTCCTTTGCAACTACAATTCAGGTCTTATTAGCAGCAGGAGTTAATGAGAAAAGTCACACCCATTTAACTTCACATCAGGATACCTGATTGTGCCACTACTTACTGGTGTGGCTGCTTTGTTCTAGTGCATTACCTACAGATATGTAATTTAATAATTAAATATCAGATGTCAAATATTGTTACATTGGTATGAATCTGATACAGACAAACACAGGCATATTCCAAGAAGAGCACATGGCACCAAGCTGAGGTTCATATGATTTTCTTTCAAAAAGAAAATAAAACAATGAATGCAACCAAATTGCAAAAGTTGTTTCTGTTTCCCATTTCTAATGTCTCCAGGGACTAAGCACAAAACTATGCTGGAAGCTCGGAATGGAAGTGGAACCATAAAAGCCTTTCCCCGGGCAGGCGTAAAAGGCAAAGGACCTGTGAATAAAGGAAACACAGGCCTTCAGAACAAAACATTTCACTGTGAAATATGTGATGTGCACGTAAACTCTGAGACACAACTGAAACAGGTACTTAGCTAGCTTGCAGAGTGTGAATCCTTGGCTGTTCTTTGTTTTCATGGTGATAAAGTACCAACACAATCAGCATGTGTCAGTCTAACAATTCACATCCAAATGGAGCTCACAGATTTTACCCTTTGTACTTGTCTTTCATGCTGTATGTTTTGTTTTGGATATGATTTTCCCTTGCACAGAATATATTTTCTCAAAAGCTCTTGATTATATATGACATATATATATGTCTTAAAGAGTTATAGACGCTGTAAGCTGCAACATGTTACAACTGTCTTTAGACTACTATAATTGTCATGAGCTAATAAACCCTGCCATTTTATCTACTGCATGATATTTGCCTTGACAAAGATGTGGAGGTGGGTGCAGCCAGTATTTTCACAAAACACTGAATAACCTGCTTAGAAATGCAGAATGGAGAGGATTTGTAATATGTTTTTATCAGTGTCACTCTATAACTGAGAAGCATGACCTCTAAATTGCAATTACACTAAGTTATGTTCAGTCATTCTTCAGATGAACAAAGCCTTTGTTCTGAAAAACACTTAGTTTAATTCCATATGCTTTTTGGAATTAAATATTTGTTAAGGAACTTTACAAGAATGAAGATAAATTCTGTAATGGACAATAGCAATACTTGTCTTCTGCTTTCAGGAAAAAAAAATGTCCAGTTCTTTGTCTTTTTTTTGTGAGAACACTCTTTAGAATGAAAATCAAAGTAAAAATACGGTTCTGAAAAAGGTCTCTTAAATCTAATACTGCAATAAAGTCTGTGTAGAAAGATTCTTTTAAAATCTCATAGATTTTACGAAGAAGATAATGGATTTTGTGGGTTTTTTTCACTGTGATTTAGTTTGATATGTAACCATCTTTCAGCTGAAATGTTGAAAGGATGTCTAGGCTTCTTAGGGATTTAAACAATTTTTTTTTTTTTTCCCCTGAACAGGGGATGCTCTACTATCTAATATTCTTCCAAAACTTTCTGTCAACAGTGGATTGAATTTGATGGGTGCTTTATAGAGATAGGGAGGAATTTTTCAAAGGTTTCTATCTTTGACTTGATTCGGATCCTGTTGAAGTTAACAAAGGTGAGAAAATCATTGACTACAATGGAAGCAGACTTGAACTGAGCACTGTGGAAAATCACTGTCCCAATATGTGATGCACAAAGAATCGTTCAAATTGGAACAGACTCTATTCCCATTCATTATTGAATTAGTCAAAGTAATGCTGTTGTGGAGAGCAGTAGCCTTCAGTATTGGAGCACCCTTGTGTAAAGCAGAACCTGAATGATCTATTAAGGAAATATCACTCTTCTTTTTTTTTTTTTTTTTTTTTTTTTTTCCCCAAAATATATTTTAACAGCACATAAGCAGTAGAAGGCACAAAGACAGAGCTGCTGGGAAGCCGCCCAAACCTAAATACAGCCCTTACAACAAACTCCAAAAGGGAACACATCCTCTAGGGGTAAGCCAATCACCTTTTATTTTACTTTTATTTTAACCCCGCTGAGTAGGGTTTTTAGAAACTGTAAGTGGAAAAATGTTTAAAATGAGAGGAATAGTGTAAGCAATGGGAGTATAGAAGTGTCTGAATGAGCCCACAGAAACCCACAAAGGACTTCTTATATGTTTTGATGGGCATGGACTACAACCTGTGGGTCCTCGTTTTTTGTAGCTACTCGGAATAACCTCAGAAAAGAAGCTTGTTTCAAAGGTCATTAGAGAGCAACAGACAAAAGAAACATCCAGATATCAAACAGGATTTTTCCCATTTTCACCAAGGACAATGGTGATGAAATGACTAAATAAAACATAAAACCTTTATTCTATCCTTATTTAAAAAAATATTCAGATAACAATTGAAACAATTAAAAAAAATCCATCTCTCATTTCATTCCACTCAGTTTCAGGATGGTTCTGGTCACATTTTTGACTGCCAGGATAAACTATCTGAAACACAGTTCGTTCTTGCTTCAAAAGCTGAGAAAAGGGTTTACTTTTTAGTAAAAACCCCTGCTAGGATCCTGCCATTAGTTAAAAACCTGCTTATGTTGTGGGTGGGTTAATGAAACATCTGACATTTATCTCCATGAGATAAACTGCATGATTGTTTTATGTGCTATTGTGTTTTGTAAGGGTTTATAGATGGTTTTGGCAGGGGGAGGATGTTGATTCATTGGCTTCACAGAGATTGGCCCCTTATTCCTTGGCCATCTTCTCTAATGCAGGCAGAATATGGAGTTTTTTTTCTGTGAAAACCCAGTTCTCTTTAAGTTGAGTTAAAGCTCTTTTCTTGACAACAGAAGGTGTGTCCTTGTTGGGGCAGCCCTCATGATTGGTATATTCATGCGCGATTCAGTTGGGTAGGAGCTTTCCTAGATGTTGTACCATAATGCAGTGCACTACTCTGGTAGATCCACCAGTAGGGAAATAGCCTCATAGGGTTTTTCAGTAATCCACCAGGAAGACCAAGGTCTACAATACATATAAGCTATACTGAAAGGAATCGAAAATATGTAAATAGGTAAGTAGGATATGGAATCACTAAAGCTTCTCTGACAGGATTATTATTCCTTTAGGAAATTCATTGTTTCCCAGGGGATGAAAATAACTATTACATTACTGTTGCTGTTGTGCACTGTTCTCTATTTGCCAATTTATGTAATGGTGATTTCTGAGAACTCCAGCCAAGGATCAAGGCCACTTAGTTGCTGCATAGACAAATAAAGGCAACATGTCCTTTTCCTGCTCCCTCACTTCCAAATGCTCACAATATACAAGTCAGGCCAGAGGTGAGCAAAGAGGCAAAAGCAATTTAAGAAGGAGTAGAATGGAGGCTACACTGAGAAAGGATAAGAGCAATTCTCCATTTAGTCTTTTTGGTTTTGAACAAAAAAGATACCAAAATTGCTGTCACTTGAAATGCAGGACGGCATAGCAACAAGCCAAAGATGTGCTAATTTTAGTTTGAATGTAAATGTTTTTGATGAGCTGTAGACTTTTTATTTACTCTCCGTTAATTTTTCAAGTCATTTACTGTCCCTTAGTTTACTTTATTGGAAAGGAAATGAATAATGGCTACTTTACTCTTAATGTCGACCTGTGTGTTAATTAGTACTTGCAGAGAGGTTTGAAATTAAGGTGCTACATACTGTATATACTAAATATTACTGGGTTTGCAGCTATCTTGAAATCAGAACCATGTTGATAAATTAACTGAAAAGCTATCTAACTTCATTAGAAGTTCCTGATTCCTCCAAGAATGGTAAGATCACAGAATCACAGAATCACAGTCAATATAAAGTCACATAAGATCTTTGTTCTTCATGACAAAAAATGTATGAGCATCAGCAAATTTTTTTTCTATGGAAGTTAGAAAAAGGACATACTACATTTTCATAGTTTTTCTAGACCAAAAACTTTCCAATGCCATGTTTTCAGTATCATTTATACTGCTTTGTCTAGTCTAGTTTTGCATGCTTCAGAGAAAGAAGCTTTATGAATTCCCACAGTACTATTTCAGAGTTTAAGAAATCTTGTAATATTGGGACTTACTTGATATTTCTTCAAACCACAAATGTCCAGCATGTATAAAATACTACACTGGAGAGAAAGAGGTTATCAGGCATTTGATAGTCCAAACTTTCTGCAATAAAATAGCTCTTAGGAAAAACATCCTTCACTGGGAATTCTAGACCACAATCAGATCCCTGTTGTTTTGGGCTGGGTTTTTTTTGTACTTTGTGCTCAGGATTTTTTTTTTTTTTGAGAGTTTTTTTTTCTTGTCTGTTCTAAGCAAGGCTGGAAAAATGTATTTACTAAAAAATGTAAGGAAGGAGAAAAATATCAAATGCTCAGTAAAGGAAGAAGACAGCTTGGATCACTGGGTGTTACACTGATCAAGGAAAAGATTAGATCATTGCTTTTCCTAGGCACCATGAGGAATTTTGTGTCTAGCATCCATTATGTCCTCTGTTAAGAGAATTACAGAATATGGTCACCTCTGAGTATCTCTCCCAGAGCTTTAAAGGACCTTGAGGTCAGCAGAGTTGACAATGGGTATTAGGAACAGTCAAAATCCTGTATCCATCTGGCTGGTAAAGAACCAACAGATTTTTTTGGAGTGTGGTGATAGTGTAATGATGAAACTCACCAGTGGTTCATGCCAGACTACTCCTGTACTTACTTTCTGACTATTCACTCACCAAGGTACTGTTGAGTGGAAAGTATCAGACTGATAAAGTGCAAGTTAATTATTTGAAAGCCCCTTTCAATTCAAGGATGAGAAATTGTGTTCCCCTGTGAGCGAGAAGTGTCCATACTTACATTGAGATGTACCACAGGATGGTACATATATTCATATTCTGTATATTCAATACCATATATTCAGATTTAAGTTCTTTGCAAAGGGCCTCAGGTCATGCCAGGACACAGACTCACTGATAGTCCATCAGAGCCAATGGGAACTTTTCTTTGTCAGTGGATGAGGTTTCTGTTCTTATCTCAGAGTTATAAAATCAGAACAACAAAGGTATTCAGGCTCCTGGCTTCTCATTCGAAATTTGAAATCGCACTGAAATCTGCAGAAATCTATATAGACTACTCTGATGTTCACTTGTATCGATACCAAATGTAAATTCTCTTAAATATTAATGAACCTCTGTGAATATTTTCAATCCATCTGGGAAAAGCTTGAGCTTATTTTTTGTCTTTTTGGAAACGCTAAATGAGGACTTTTCCAAATTGTTTGTTTGTTGTTAGAGGCAGGAGCTAATAAAGAGCAGCTAGCTGGAGATCTTAATTTTAAGTAGAACTTGCATCCCAATGATAAAAACAAAAGTACCTTCTTAGTCAGACCAGGAAATAGGATATGTTTTCATTCTGCTCTGGTGTCTATCATAAAGCTGTCCAGATGGAGGTCTTTTAATTGATGGCTAATTCTTCCTTATTTAATTCTTGCAGGGTGCATGCAGCTTTACTTTGGTGCAGATTGCCAAGCCCCTTTTTAGGTTTGCTTTGATTTCTAATCTCATATCAAATTGTAAGTTTCAGTGATAAGGCGTGAGCCCACAACCAAGAGGACATTGAAACTCTTTGTCCCTGACCAAATCCTGCTCATCCTTGTCCAATGTACGAGATTGTTGCCTGTCATGACCCTGCAGCTCATAGAGTCAGTAGCCACTAGACGGCCTCCCTTATTTTATTTTGCACTTATAATCTTAAGTCAAGCTCCCTATTGTGTAGCTAATATGAACAAATTATGTCTCTCTGTTTGTTTGTTTTCTCTCTTCCCCACAGGTAAAATTAGTATTTTCAAAGGAACCTTCAAAGCCGATGGCTCCACGAATCTTACCAAATCCGCTAGCAGCTGCAGCAGCAGCTGGCGCTGTGGGCGGGGGATTTCCCCCCCCTC